CGTCAAAACGACCCCAGCCGCACCCGCCGCACACACGAGGTACCTTTGTATGATATGGTGATGTGATATCAAATCTCCCATTATCCTATATTACAATATATGGTGATATGATGTCAAATTTTATATAGCCCTTCATTGCAATATATAATAATATGATGTAAAATCTCATACCGCCCTTCATTACAATTTATTATTATGTGGTGTAAAGTCTCACACCGGCCTTCATTGCAGTGTATGGTGGTAAACATCTCAGACCCTCCTTTATTGGAATTTATTATTATATTATATAAATTCTCATACCACCCTGCATTATAATTTATTATAAATTCGCATACCGTCCTTTATTATAATCTAAAATCCCATAATGAAAAATTATCCGTAATTCAAAAATATTTCTTCCCAATTTCCTTTAATAATAAATATATAGAATATATAAAAAATATAATATAAATATATAAATTTAAATAAATTATTAATATATAATATATATTTTAATATTAATAAATAATATATATAATTTTATAATATTTATAATATATATTTAATTTTAAATATAATTTTATATATAATAATTATATATAATTATATATAAATAATTAAAAATAAATAATATTTGTTATATATTATAAATATTCATTATTAATTACATAAATTTATTTATAAAATAAAAATTATTAAATATATATTTATAATTAATAATAATTATATTTAAATAAATATATCTATAATATAATTAAATATCAAAATATTAATATAATATATATATATTTTATAAATATATTTAGAGGAAAAAAATATAATGAATAAATTTAGATAATATATAAAATATATATTATTTAAATATATTAATATAATTATATATGTTAATAAATATAATAAATGAATTTAAATTAATATTTGTTTAATATAATTATAATTTATTATATATAAATTTATAATATTTAATTAATAAATTTCGAAATAAAAATATATTTTTTTTCAAAAATTAATCTTATATATTTATTGTTTAATTAAATTAAAATTTAATTAATATTATAAATATAATTAATATTTTTAATTTATTATTGTATTATTAATTATTTTCCTAATATTTAAAAAAAAATTAAATTATTATAATATATTCAATATATAATAATTTTCTGATTTTTTTTGAGAATCGAATTCTTGCTATAATTTAAATATTTCCATTAATATATTTCTAAATTTATTATTTAAAAAAAATCCCAATACCATATTTGAAAATTTTAAGCACGAATCGAACTATCAATATAATTCTATCCATTATCACCAATAATCTATTTATATCGAAAAATTTCCGAGAAAAAAAAAATATAACGATTCCACCGTCCACATAATACCCAAAATTTAAAATTTTGCGCCCAAAAAATATTATTATCCGAAAATTTAAATATTTGCAAATTCTTATTTTGCAAATTATTTAATAATAAATATTTAATATAATAATATAATTAATATATTTATATATAATTAATATAATAATATAAATATTAATTATAAAATTCGTCCAATATTTAGATATTTTTTATAATTAAAATTCCTTCTAATTAATATATTTCCAATAAATTTCAAAATTACCAAATATATCGTATATATCTTAAATAAAAAATAAAGAATTAATGTTTAATAATAGTATTTTTTTATTATCGTAATATAAATAACGAATTATTAACTAATTCTTATTCGATTTTATAAAACAAAAAATATTAATTTTATTATTTTTTTTTCGAATTTATTTCCTGGGCTCCGAGTGGCCCCGAGTCAAAAATATAAGATTCTGTGGAAGGAAAAAAAAATAGACAGGGAAAAGAAAAGAAAAAGAAAAGGAAAAGGAAAGGAAAAGGAAAGCAAAAGGAAAGGAAAAGGAAAGCAAAAGGAAAGAAAAAGGAAAGGCAGGGCGAGGAAATAAAGGACAAAAAAGAACAGGAAGAAAAAGAAGGTAAGGAAGGCAAGCAAAGGTTACAATTTAATCTAGGGTATGTTTACGAATTTAAGTGTATTTTAGTTTCGTTATAAATTGTAATTCCCATTCAAAATTACCTCTCGAAGAAAAAAAAGGAGCACAATATAACACTAAAACAATTAGTAAAAACAAAAAATAAATTACGGCAAAGTAAAACACATTGATGACATTAAAAAAGAAAAATTGAACACTCTATAAAGATCTATAAAGAAGATATAACACATCGGACTCGGACGATCATCGGACCTCTAATAGGAAGTATAAAAAATAAACCTAAAAGTCTTGGAAACCGAAAGTATCTACACGCATAAAAAGAACAAAACGATAATACGATCTAAGAGAAAGTAGGAAGGGAGAGATGAAAAATATACGTATAAAAATATGAAGGGATCATGTAACATACGCCATGATTCAATAATGATAAACATCGCAAGCATGCATACTATGATGAATGTTCACTACGGATGAACATATGTTAATATGTATCATTCTGTATCAATAGTTTCACCCCAACCCCCGGAGTGAAATGGGAACTCCTTGGCTACGCCTTCAGCAAAAATGGTAGAAGCATACAGAAGTGCATACTTGTTTGAGCCAGCGGGGGGAAAACCGCGCCAGCGTTTTGTACGTTTTTGCACACTGGCATTTTCGGGGGGATATTAACGTTCATGTTAACTTTCGACACACGCGCACGCTACGTCACGTCATGGGTTTGGGGGTGGGTGGGGTGGGGAGGATGTTAACGTTCATGTTAAGTTGCAACACACGCGCATACTACGTCACGTCATGGGTTTGGGGGTGGGTGGGGTGGGGGGGGGATGTTAACGTTCATGTTAACTTTCGACACACGCGCATGCTACGTCACGTCATGGGTTTGGGGGTGGGTGGGGTGGGGGGGATGTTAACGTTCATGTTAACTTACGACACACGCGCGCGCTACTTCACGTCATGGGTTTGGGGGTGGGTGCGGTTTCCTTTTGCTGGCGTCATAATTCTAAGATATTGAACTTATTTTACATTCTTGTTAATTACACGAACATTCATGGGTGATTGTTAACAGTCACTTTGCAGTTGTCACGTGCTTTTAATTGTGTCAGATTGTTGCCTGCATCTTTGTCATGATTTAGCCTCAAGTTTTTTTCTACAACTTGTGGCATCTGATCAATGAAGAGCGTCAAACATGGACGCAAAGTGCCAGTGATCAAGAAAATGGCAAGAGGGGGTCCATACAGTTTGGCGACCTGAGTCAACGGCCATGTCAATCCAAAGCTGATGCGAAGCATCAGAATCTGGCAATGGCGTTGGATGAACTCCTCAGAAAATCTTTTGGAGAAAATTGGACGCATGTTAAACAAGCGAATGGCGAGCTGAAAGAGAAACAAAAATTCGCGCACATTTTGAAGGCAAAATTCTCTGTAAATTACAGGAACATGAGTTAAAACCACCTGATTTTCCCCGGGAAAATTCAAGGATTCTTGTTATGATGATCAATGTTTTCGCTATGGCGAAAACGACATTTTCTTCAAGAACGCTCAAAACGCTGGCGCGGCTTTCCCGGTTGTTTGAGATTAAGAAATTTCCCACTGTGATTTGCTTTAATTTCACGTGGATAATGTGGATGTATGATGATGTATGCATATTTTTTGATGAGGTATCTAGTCCAAACGACCCATTAATTTTCTACCTGCTGATTTAACACATCCATATAATGTTTGATAGCAATCCTATCTTATGTATCTTTAGATCTACGAGTAGTTCCTACACTGTAGCAAATTGACGCAAATTGTAGCCGCTTTTCTGTGATTGTGGCTAACATAGCCTAACAGTTTCCATGTCGCAGCAACCACCACATCCAACCCCCTCCCGTGTACCAGTTTCATGACTATCTTTTTCTCGGCATACTGGGAGCAAAGACTTCAGCATCAAGCCTCCGGCATCTAGAGCACCATGAGCAGCGAATCCAGTCCCCTTCTGGTCGTACCACGCTGAATCCCAGAACATCCGAGACCGAGGAACGAAGCAATCACCGTGGATATGTGCAAGAATCCTGGCATAGCATGTCGGCTGCATTTCTAGTCGCGTCGAAGCAAGTTTTGGTCACTCCAAGTGCGCTATGTAGTGCCCAACTGTTCCCCAACAAAATCGATCGATCTCAGGCTTTGAAGCTCCTCACTGGACACTTTCCCCTGCCGGGCACGGCAAAGCTTCCGCTCAAGCCAAAAGGCGAAGCAGCGTTCTTCCAAATCGCTGCTCCAGCGTGATGGCGGTTGATCGTTGTGTTCAGACAACCATATTTTGAATGTTTCAACTCTTACTCAGGCTTTTTTGGGCTCTTGTCACAAGTCTGTCCGAGACACCAGGCAATCGGCTGAGCTTAGCAAGACGCTCTTGGTCAACATTGCCCCACCTGGTCGCTTGCACCGCATTCTTTAACCAAATTGCCAAGGTCCTCTCACTCCAAGCCTTTGCCCCAACATGTGGCAGTCGCCCATGCTTTTCGCACCATGCCTCTAACCTTCGAAAGCTAGTGCCCCATGGTACGGGCATGCGCACACGGCGCAGTTCTGATGTTGCTGGATTGGATTCTTGATGCGCTGCAGATTTGCCCGCTTCTCGCTCCATATGTTCTCTTCTTCCCAGAATGCATTTGTAGACGGTATCGTCGGTATGGTTGTGCAAATGAATGCTAAACCAGTCTTGCAACAGTCTGCAGCCACTCTCCCCACTCCAGTCCAAGTTGGAAAGGCCTAACGCTTCCTGCAACAGTTCCTGTTTCTCGGACGCTAAGTCTCCGTCCTGTGCCTTGGCCAAATTGTTGTGCAACCAAAATGCCATGAGCCTTTCTTTTGCTGCACCACTGCTTCCACACGGAAGTTTGCCACTGTGTGCCTCCAACCATTCTACCAAAGAAGCATAGTGGCCTTTCCAAACAAGGTGCAATCGAAGCGATTCCCCCCCACGCAGCCGAGGGCCCAAACCAGCAACTTCTTTCAGCTTCGCAAGTCGTCCAGGATGCAGTTCATCTTTCCGTGCTTTGGCGCAATCATTCTGCAGCCAAACCGCCAACTGCCGTTCATCTTCATCACCGGAGCGCTTAGGCAAACGCCCATTATGCGTCATGAGCCAAGCTTGCAACGAGGAGAAATGATCGTCCCACGACAAAACAACCCGGGTGAAAGATGTCACCACGGGCGGAAGCGTCCACAAATGAGACAAGCGATCCTGGTCCAAAGCCCCTTTGGAATATAACTGGCGTGCGTCTGCCACCCACCATCCAAGTTTTTGTTCCATCCGTGAATCCGTACTGCTACGTGGAATACGGTCAGACACTGAAATCCACCTCTTGAGCTGGCGAAACCGCCTCCACCAACGAGAGGGCTCTTCTGCCCTGACCTGGGGTTTGGGCATCAAGTTTGCGAAACATGGGTACTTCCTCAAAGTGTATCGCTGGGACTGGGTGCACTTCCTGAAATTAATCATGTCAACAGTTTGATTGACCCAGCTCAGGAAATTCATGTGCCACTCATTCTGGTCGTCAGAAAAGAGGCCAGCAGGATCAAGAACACCCTCAGCAGAGATCAGGTCATCCACATGTGATTCACTGGGAAGTTGTCCACCATGCTTGTCGGCCCAGCACTGAACTAGATCGCAACGCTGCTGAAACAAGCCGAACCTCACTGGATCTCTTCTCCCGTCTGAGGAATTGGGAGATATGAAGTGTAGAGTAAGTCTGACGATGCTGATTGGCAAACTGGGAGTGGGGAGAAGAGGACATGGGGGGCGCTTCGCTAAGTATGAAGTTTTATGTGATTGGTAATTCCAGTCTCTGCCAACACTTTGCTAAAGCAAGAGTGACTTTCGCTATCCGAAGCTAGTTTTCATGATGAATCTGTTGATGAGAACATATTACATATCTATACATATCTATCTATATCTATATCTATGTCTATTTATATCTTTCTATTTTTCTATCGTTCTATCTTTCTATCTACCTTTCTATCTTTCTATCTATCTATCTATCCATCCATCTATCCATCCATCCATCCAATCCATCCATCCATCCATCGATCCATCCATCCATCCATCCATCTATCTATCTATCGATCTATCTATTAATCTAACCTATTAATCTAATCTATTAATCTCTATCAATCTAATCTAATCTAGTCTAATCTTATCTAATCGTACCTTACCTTATCTATCTATCTATCTATCGATCTATCTATCTAGCAGAATAAGTAATGAAGTATCCCCGTCCATGACATATTACAACATGAATGTAAATTATCTATTGAGATTGATTTTCATACCCTCAGAATCTTTCCATAGCAGGAGCTAGCTAGCTACTGAACAGTCACCTGCCCAGAAACTCTTTCGACTGGTTCCACTTCTCAAAGGATGTCTGGAAGCCAGGGAGTGCCTCAAGCTACAAACATGAAACCACAACATCTGGATTGATTCCATGACCCGGTTGATTATGCCCCTCATCAACCAGTGTCGGGTCAAATGATGAACTCAAGAACTGTTGACCATGACGACACTGAAAACATCCAGCCTTCAGCAACTCAACCTGCTCCTCCGACAATAGCCAGGGGCGGCGAAGAAAGCGCTGCCGTTGATAGGCCACCCACGCGGCCAGCTCTGGCTCCTCGCGGCGTTCGCTCTCGTCATGGTTATTAAAAATCGATTGCCTTGCAATACTTTGAATGAACCTGTCCCACAGACTGTGAATGATGTAAAATGTAAGATCATCTTGTACTGAAAGTCTCGTACTGAAAGGCCAGAAGACATAGCACGTCGTGATGGAAGCTTTACGCGCGTTTCTACTAGATTTTCCCACTACACAGACACAGTGATGGCCAAAGTGGTCTTTGGGTTTTGGGATGTGTTCGCTCATCTGGGTCAAATAGAACAAGATGCAGCCCAAGAACTCGAAAGCTCACACGTATGTTGCTAGCACAGATGTCGAAACACATAGAAAGGAATACTTCATAGATGTTGCAACCCCTGGCTGCGGCCCATTTCGTATCTTCCACAGAGCATGATTGTGCAATGAGGATGCTACGTGTAAAGCATAAAGTGTGGAGTAAAAAGTGTAGTGTGTGGGGTGTGGGGTCTCAAGTGTAAAGAGTGAAGGCTGAAGTGTAAAGTGCAAAATGTGGGGTGCAAAGGGTAGAGTGTAAAGTGTAGAGTGTAGAGCGTGGAGTATGCAGTGTAAATGTGTAAAGTGCGAAGTGTAAAGTGTAGAGTGTAGAGTGTGGAGTGTAAGGAGTAGAGTTGCGAAGTGTAAAATGTAGAGGGTGGAGTGCCAAATGTGAAGTGTAAACTGTAGAGTGTCAAGCGTGGAGTGTGGAGTGTAAAGTAAAGTGCGGAGGGTAAAGTGCGGAGTGTAAAGTGTAAAGTGGCAAGTGTAGAGTGTGGAGTGTAGAGTGTCCTGAATACCGCGCCTGCAAGGTAAAAAGACACATTCCTTACATGACGGATCTGCACTCAATGCTTGTCCCCCGGCTGCCACGCGACGTGCATGTTGGCGCAGCCCTGACAGTGCGATTCGCAAAAAAAATACGCAACACCACATGTCTAAAGTGATGCGCCTGCTACGAAAAATGCAAGTCATCTTTTGAAAACCTTGCAAAAGTATCAAAAGTATCAGAAGTATTGTCAGACACGTGAGATTGTCAGGAAGTGACACGCCCACCACGTAAAAGTGTGAGGAGGACATTTAGCCGCTAGCCTGCTCCCCCCTGAGGCACGGCGACGCCACAACAAAACCAGAGAATTGAGACGAGAGATGTGGGAGCCTCAAGACGAGCACTTCGTGCGAGACTTCCTGTCACGGAATTTGCACATTGTCGCCACTTGACGCAATGCGCTTCGCAAAAAAAACACAGAACACAACGTGTCTGAAGTGGTGCACCGGCCACCCAAGTGCTGCGCCTGCCATGAAAAATCAAAATCGTGTTCTGAAACGATGCAAAAGTATTGCGCCTGCCGAACAGGACAACTTTTGAAATGGTATGAAACATGTTGGGATGTCACGAAGTGCCACGCAGGTGCCACGCCTGCCACATGAAACGAGGTTACGGAACGTTTGAAACCTCCAAAAGAACGGCAGCGAACTGTTGCGCAACATCTAGCAAACACACTCTCAATCCCCAGATACGCATTCGGGAAAAGCCAGCATTTGGGGATACCGTGACTATCCAACCATCCCTCCTTTACAATGACATCGCAGTGACCGCAGCTTCAAACAAACCCAGCCCCAATTCCTCTTCGGAGAAGTCCCTCCTCAGCACTCGCGGTGTGATAGAGAACAGCCACTTGGTGTACCATCTGCATATGCTATATCTTTCTACCATCCTGTCTATATGCCTTCAGGTGGTTTGGGGGAAGATTGGGGAAGTGCAGGCATATCTCACCTTCAACTTTTGTTGTTTTCATCCGACATCATCCAAAAAATACCAATACGTATGTTTTCACGAAGCGCTTTCTTCACTATTCTTTTCTTTTACTCATCGTGCGGTATACTGAGGTACTAATCTACATCTCGAGACACACTGTTTCGCATATGCTGGGACAAGAACTACGAGTGAAAAAATGTGTACAGTATCTGCATGTACGGTACATCTATAGTCTGTATGGATGTAACATGTACATCCATATCAGTATGTTGACAAGCGTACATATCCCAGCCAGTGGCCACTGGTCTTCAACTCTTTCCAACATCTTTCCAAGAGCAAGCTGCCAATTCGCAAGTAGATCCACATTACGATCCACCAGCCACTGACGCACTCGCTTATAATGCACTTCCCATGAAGTTCGCCGTTTTCGGATCTCCTTTGGGTCTCATTTCAGATTTCTTGATGTTGCATGAAAGTAGACAGCACTTGCAGCTGCAAAAGAGCATGAAATGCACATGCAGGGTACAAGGTCCTCAAGCTGATCCATGACACCATGAAGCTGCTGCAAGGAAGTGGACTGCTTCGGAGACAGCTTGCCATCTAAGTGCCTCGCGGCAAAGGCAGGCGGCCACAACGTCACTTACTGTACTGCTGTCAATCATTCTGCCATCTGCCATCTGTCGGCAGCGCCGACATAGCCAACGCTAGACTTGCCGCTCAGTCTAGAACACAGACTGAATTCCGTTGAAAATTTAGCCGCTAGCCATCACTAGCCTAAATGGGGCCCCAATCGGCTTACAAATGCTCACACCATAATCATCCATCAGTGCTTCCTGAGACGAGCCTGTTCATGGCCTTCCCCAGCCAGTTTGTCAAATATTTCTCAGTCGGATCCTGGCAACAAGGAGAAACAACTGCCATGGTACGTCGCCTGCACTTCCAAGCAGCTTCATTAACATTCCATGGGGACTTGTGGCACAAAAATTCGGCTGGACAATCAATGATAATCGGGCCCCAGGCAATAATTAGGATTAATTAGGTCTATACTAGCAGCTACCAGCAGGTACCACGCCAGTCCTCGCTCCGATTTCTGGCTTGTGGCAAGCGACCAAACAGGCTTATCCACAGCTGAATTCCTTGGCGCAACTGTCCATGGAGTCCATGCATTCTGTTGGACCGCTGCGTGTCCGGTCTCTTCATTTGCCGCCGATAGCGATCCAACGCAACAACATTAGCAAAAAGCCTAAGGATACAGACCTGCTGCAGAAGATAAGTCTGCCAAGCCTCTCGTGATGACGTCCTCAAAGGTTGGTGGTTTCGTTTTATTTAACCTCTGGCAGTCGGACCGCTGGGTCGGCTCACCGGAAGGACATTAAAATCCATGGAAAACCAATGGGGTTGCCTTGAAATTTAGATACCATGGGCATCCATGGGCCGCATGCTCCGTGTCTATGACATGACGCACTAGTATCATATGTAAGTCATGTAGTTAATAATCACAATCTATAAGAAACCATGAATGTGAATCATGGCCCCCACTACAACCCTGCCAGGAAGCCTCTCAAAAGCGCCAGGGATCTTCAGAAGGTCTTGGATTTGGTCTCGACCTTAGTCGCAGCAAAGACCACAAAATCAATCTCACGAGGTTCAGTGGAGTAAAGATGCAATCATCAACTGAAGCTTTAGGTTTGTACCAAGCTGCTCAGCTTGCCCTGCTTGTAGAGCTGCTTGGCTTTCGCCAGCCAATTTGCAAGAGTTTTCGCTTGCGCACCACCGGAAGCTTGGGGCAAGGCTCCATGGAGAGCCTGCCATGCCTTTAGTGCGAAATAGTTACGCCGCCAGACGGCGTAAGGAGAGGGCACCAAGCTTCTTCTGCTTGGTTCAGTCCTCGAGTTCGCAGCAGAAATCTCCTTTAGCCAATTTGGTTTAACCATTATCCTTTGAAGAAAAAAAATAAAACTATAGTTGCTGAAGCGTGAGGATCGTGGCAAATTTGATGCTTGCAGCCATCAGCTGGTAAGCTGTCAGTGCACCAAGCATCGGATCTGCAGGCTTTGATCGCGGTGATTCTAAGAGGCTGCTGAGCTCGGGGATCGAGGTTAGTGTTTCCTCCATTGAAGTTGATAAAGTTCCCTTCCTTGTGTGGCAGCACGCAACTAGATCCATGGGACTACTTTGAATGTGACTGGGCCAGCTCTATCTCCCTTCAAAGGTTGAAAAGCGCCAAATCGTTCTCAAGCAACAAACTTGCAGCAGCCTATCAAGAGCAAATGTCTTCAGCATGCGAAAGCAACTGCCATCCAGGCCCCTCCATTCCTTTGGGAAAAACATGGTAATACCTGCTGCCTGGGTTCTTGTGTTTGTACTTGGCAATGCGAAGCCACATGGCCAAGCGTTGCTCTTCAGCAGAAGCTTCCAGGTCCTGCGTTCTGGAGTGGATGTGCTGGGCCAAATTCGATTATGAACACTTGAAAACTCAAATCGTCTGCTGACTTCCATTTCATTGCCGGCTTTTGGATCTGAAGCTGACTGCTACACAAGTACCTATCTTAAATTAGCTTGCACAGTTCACTGCGTGCATGTTGCCAGAACATCCAACCCAGCCCGCCAGGGACTACTGTATCAAAGTGGCATCAAAGTGGGCTATCTATCCACACCAGCAGACGATCCGCTTCCTCTTTATCTGCAATTCTTGGCATCCGCTCATCCCGTTCAATCTCTGGAGCATGACAAATTGGGACTAGCATGCAAGGTATGAAGAACCAAGCTTCACATTATGGAGAGCTTACATGTATAATTATAATGCATAGTATATTTTCAGCCCTGTGAGGCTTCTTTCTCAGTGGCCTCCTCTGGAAAACTGCGGTTCTGCACCCAACTTTGGAACTCCTGCTGCCACTGGAAAGCTCACACGAGGCGTAGATAAAACACCAATATGATTCTCTCCTAGGGTCCTAGCACGAATTGACTGGCAGGCTTGGTGCGACATCCCGAGCACGTCTAAAATGTATTGGAGCTTCGGAACTTCATGAGGCATTCATTAAGTTAAAGTTAAAAAATATTAAAAAATGTCTTTAAAAATGATCCTGTGCTTATAAAAACCAATGATGGCAGGTCCTGGAACGCGGGATAAGAAAATTAACGGGCCCAGCCACCAGCAAGGCCGTCATAGTTTCAGGGCTCCTGCGCATGCTGCTGCCAACGTTCCTCTGGGCCCCATCGTGCTTCCCACCTTAGGGGCTTGATTGATACCATTGGCCATCCCCAGTGCTTCTCTGACTTTCAGGGCGAAGAGCTTGAACTCACTGTTGACAGCAACAAAGATGAGCTATAAAGACGATGAACATCGATGAAGTGCATCAGCCTGGCATTTTACCACTGGCCATTTCGCCTCCGCGCCTCCGATCGCAAGCGCGCTAGCCAAGGCACTGCAGGAGCTCCAGCATCATGGTAGGGACCTGCTCCAGTTCCCGAATCTCTTCCTCCCCGAGGCGGCCCTTGATAAATCGCTTCCTGCCGGGAGATCAGCGGAGATTCCCATGTGCCATGTGTGCCATGTGTTGTGTGTTGCAACTGGCCTCCTCAATTTGAAGCCGCTTTCCAAAGGTAGAATCGCTAGAAGTTAAACAGTTACATGAAATATGAATATAGCTAATATAATATAATATATGAGTTATAGCTAGTTATGGAGCATGGCCCGCTCTTCCCAACACTCACCAGCCTGGCTGCTGACAACCACTCCCAAAGGGCATACTCATGGAGCTCCCCAGCACGGCGTGGCTTTCCTTCGAAACTCATGATGGGATCTGGAGGGCAAACACCAAGTCGAATTCTCATCTTGTGAGTGGCCAACTGGGCCAGCACCCCTAGCTGTCTGTATGGACACTCATGTACAAGCAAAGCCCTAATGGATACAACTTCCAAAACCGGCACTCATTTCTTGCTGGTGGCTGAGGCTCTGAGGCTGCTTCGGGGGGTCATCAAACCCTACATCAAAGCTAGTGACAGGAAAGACAGGAAAGAAAGAGTGAACTTCGTGCAAATAGCCCGACGAGTCACTGTTTCCATGGCTCTTCAGCCATTCCCTCAAGGCATTACATCCTTCAGACCAAGTCCATTTGGCTCGAGCTGCCTGCAGCTGCTTGATAAATGTAAGATCAGACTACCCCCAGCTTGTGCATGATGGCAATGACGCTCAAAAGGTCCCTTAAGCAACCATGATTTCCCATCCTGACGGTCCCGACGTCTGGCTATCTCTGTGAGACTGCTCGCTCGGATGGGCCTTCTTCATCATCAGCCGCTTCCACTTCTCCAACTTCTGTGGCATCGATGGGATCTCCTCCAACTGCCGGACCTGATCCTCTGTGAGCTTCTCAGCACGGAATGCTCGCCCAACCTGTGGAGCCAAGTGGGTTGTTTTTTTGTGCAGCAATCGTCCTCGTTCATGTCATAGTGCGAATGGTGCAAAGATCAAGCAGTTCAAATGCTGCCCATCTAGATTCTAGATCATCATTGATCTGCGTTGAAAGTACCTATGCTATAAAAACATAAATATTGATGTGATTTGGTGTGTATGTATGTATAGATGGATTAGTTTAGTTAGTTAGGTAGTCAGCTACTAGTACTTAGTTAGTTAGTTAGTTAGTCAGTCAGTCAGTCAGTCAGTTAGTTAGCTAGTTAGTTAGTTTGTTTGTCAGTTAGTTTGTTTGTTTGTTAGTTACTTAGTTCGTTGATTAGGTGGTTCGTCAGTCAGTCAGTCAGTCAGTCAGTCAGTCAGTTAGTAAGTTCATTAGGTGGTTAGTCAGTGTTAGTCAGGTAGTTAGTTACTTGTTTGATTGGTTAGTGGTTAGTTCGCTAGTTGCTTAGTTGGTTAGTTAATTGGCTAGTTCGCTCGTTCGTTGGCTGGTTGGTTGGTTAATTGATTAGTTAGTTAATTAGCTGGTTAGTTGTTTTTTGCTTAGTTGCTTAGTTGCTTACTTGGTTGGTTGGTTGGTTGGTTGGTTAGTTAGTTAGTTAGTTAGTTAGTGAGTTAGTTAGTTAGTGAGTTAGTTAGTTAGTTAGTTAGATTGTCAGTTTGATACTTAGTTAATTAGTTACTTAGTTGCTTCTTAGTTTGTTACTTAGTTAGGTTGTTAGTTTGTTGGTTTGTTTGTTGGCTAGTTATCTACTTAGTTGGTTGGTTATTTAGTTGCCGATTCTGTCAATTAGTTTGTTTGTTTGTTATTTGTTAGTAAGCTGGGGCACTACTAAGGAAGTTGGTTAGTTATTTCCTTGGTTTGTTAGATAGTTAGCTAGTTTCTTTGTTTGTTGGCTAGTTAGTTAGTGAGTGAGTGAGTTAGTCAGTTAGTTAGTTGGTTAGTTAGTTAATTAGTTGGGTAGTTAGTTGGTTAGTTAGTTAATTAGTTTGGTAGTTAGTTTGTTAGTTAGTTGATTAGTTGGGTAGTTAGTTGGTTAGTTAGTTTATTAGTTAGTTAGTTAGTTAGTTAGCTAGCTAGTTAGTTAGTTAGTTCGTTAGTTACTTGGGTAGGTAGGTAGGTAGGTAGTTAGGTTAGTTAGGTTAGTTAGGCTGGTTAGGTTAGTTAGGTTAGTTAGGATAGTCAGGTTAGTTAGGTTAGCTAGCTAGCTAGCTAGCTAGTGAGTGAATTAGTTAGTTAGTCAGTTAGTTAGTTAGTTTGTTTGTTAGTTTGTTTGTTAGTTAGTTTGTTTGTTTGTTTGTTAGTTACTTAGTTTCTTAGTTAGTTAGTTAGTTAGTTAGTTAGTTTGTTTGTTTGTTTGTTTGTGTTTGTTTGTTTGTTTGTTTGTTTGTTTGTTTGTTTGTTTTGTAGTTTGTTAGTTAGTTAGTTAGATAGACAGACAGACAGACAGACAGATAGATAGATAGATAGGTAGGTAGATAGACAAACAACCCCGCGGCCCTATCTCCAAAATGGAAAGCGCTGCGCTTTCCAGGCCCTGCCTCGTGCAACACATGGACCAGAAACTTCTCCTCCTGGCTGCCATGCTGTCCCTTGGGTAGCCGGTGATGTATCGCCTACAGGAAGCAATGCAAAGTTCAAGGAAGCCAACTCCCACTGGATACCCTCTGGTAATGACTAACATAGCTATGGGAAATCGCCATGTATAGTGGATTTTTCCATAGAAAATGGTGAGTTTCCATAGCTATGTCAAATTACCAGAGGATAATTCTGGTCCTGGTTGATCCTTCACATATTATCCATATCTCTAGAAAATTTGGGATTGGGAACTGGCCATCAACGCCTATCGACAGGCAAAAATCATGAAATTGACCTACCAATTCCTGCATTAGTGCAACACGCCAATATTTCATAATTATCCATGTGCAATCGAACTGGCTTTACAAAACGCCAAAGGGCAAAGAACACATTGGGAATTGCAATCCGGTGATCGGCTTCTTTCTCCAAACGCTCTAGCTGCGAACCCTGCCTCCCATTCCTTCAACATCATGCACCTCTTTGCGAAGGTGTCGATACGATCTGGAACCTTGGTGGCGGTGTACACATCACAAAATCATGTCCAAATTGGATTTCATAGGGCCTCCTGCCTCCAGAGTCCACACATGTCCACACGTGACTTTGCAAATCGATTCATTTAAATATGCTAAAATCCATTCATCACTCTCATAGTGTATAAGATTGTATGACCATCAATGCATATATCGCATCTAGTAGAATCTAGTGCCGCTTATATAGCTTATATACCTTATATCATGGCGTCAGGCACCTCATCATTCCATGTCTCCATCAACTCCGCCATCTGTGGGATTTCTCGCAGCTGGAGGATCTGGGCATTGCTCAAGGCCTGATTGAAGCGACCATGGCAGCCTGGTCCTGACCCCAAGGCTTACATCGGATACGGGGGTAACCAATTGATAGCCATTATGGATATCATTGGATATAGTCTGGATATAGTATGGATGGCATATCAAGGCGGTACTTCTACGAAGAGCTTTTTATAGCTTTTTGCTTCGAGGCAATTTTGATGAAACGTCATGAAACCCATTCTTGGGAATTCAATTTGGCGGGCTCAGCTCGGAACTGAATGTTAAGGGAGCTCTGTCTTTCCATCGCGGAACAGGGCTACAAGTAAGTACTGAACATGGCGTGCTTAAAACTGCAAGAGAGATCGCTTGGAATGACATCAGCTTGCGATTGGCAGTCCGGGGCATCATCCAGCCAAGCTATTAGATTTGACTCTATGGTTCTCCTGCAAGGCCGGCGTTTGACTTACAGCAGTAGCTCCCAGAAAGTGGTTGCCCCCTGGTCTTCTGCACTGCCGTGCCACATTGGCTCTGAACTGCTTTCTGCAGTACAGGATGTAACCTGAGCAAACTCTAATATCTCCAAACAAGTCAACACGGCTTTTGCCTGCTAAGACTAAGACTCGATGAGGTTCGTCATTCATGGCTTGTCACACCAACTTGGCTTTAGAAACATAGAAACATGTCATCAACAAGTCTGCCACATGGCCGCAAGTGGGCCATGCGAGGCCTACAGGCCTTCTCGACTGCGAAGCCCCGCAAAAAGAGCCCACTGGAATACTTTGGCATTGCGAGACTCCAACTTCCCAACAAGAACTGAGCACCACACTCGCTAGCATGCGCTCATCCTGCAAAGCACAAAGAATGGAATGAAATTGTGCGGAACTACGTTCCCATCTCCCCTCTTTTATTGCCTGAAAACGCACATAAGCCCACCAGATGGTGGCAAGAAGTCAACACTCAGCAAGGGCCATAGCACGGCTTCTTCATTAACCCCGAATCTCGACATGTTTCAGCCGCCTCTGGGAAGGTTTCCCAGCTTCAATGTGTTTCAATCTTGTTTCCTCCGCCAATGGCATACCGGGCATACCGCTCCCATGCAGCACGTAGCCTGGTGATGCGCTCTTCGCGCCGGAAGGTGATCATGTTCCTCCATGAAGTTCGCCAGCTGCTGCACACGTTGGTCGAAGACCTGCCGTGGCGAAAAAGGAAAAAGATGGAAAAGGATGGGGGCCCGAATGGAACAGAACAATACTGCAGGACATTCTTGCGTTGCATCCATCCGTTTTGGACATGTTCGGGCCATGCCCAGCCGCCCAGCCTTCATCCCCCTGCCACCACCAAGGTAGCGCCCAAAACGATCAAACAGTTCCGTCGAAACATTGGCCCAGTCCATGCCATCAGCGCCTCAGCAGTGTAGGCTGCCCGAATTGGAAAGCGACAGCACATTGATGAGATAGAGACCACCATCCAAGATCAGGTCTTCAATGAAAAAATCAAATTTGCCATAATTTGCCATATATGCAACACCAGGTGCTGGAATTCTGCCCCGTTCGCAAAGGCACAAAATGGAACCTGGCCACAGGTTGGGATTAGGTTCAAACAGCGTCAGAATGTATGCTTGGGTACCTCGCTCCGATGACAAAAGGAACGGGTATGGCTCTTGCAAGCCATCCACTATCCAGAAACACATGCACGCTAAAAATGAATTGTCGGACAAACTTCCAACATGCCCACACTTGTAAAGAGAACCCCAGATTGTACAAAGCGCCGGGGAGAACAAAAAAAACTGCGGTGGTGGGCAGCAGGGGAGCAAGACAAAGGGCAAATGGAAAGAAGCTGTGTGGAAAGGTAAGACTCTCTCTACATATTACTAATTACCAACAAGTACAACCAACAAAGATCAACACTCCTTCAAGAATAACTCCAGGCTGTTAACCCCCAGTCAGTTGTAAAATATTGGAATCCGCGCCAGTACCTAGTGTCTGGTTCAATGTTTCTGCTGCCAATCCCCCCTGTCGAACCAGGGAACCACTTACAGAAGTGCTCTTGCCCTCTTCTTTTGAGCCGTGGGTGGATCTCTGCGAGGGACCTGCAAGCTGCGCGCAATCCAACGAATGTGGATGGGAACCCCGTACTATGGGGGATCAAGTCCATGCAAAACCACGCCGCCGCGCCTGATGATGTTTCTGACGTCTCTATCAAAGCTCCTATCACCTGAGCACACAAGATGTGCTTGCCCCAGGTACTGCAAACCCCAAATTTGATTCAACTGGGACTGGTCAGCCATTCGGCCCGTTCGTGGTTTCAACTCTCCAACTGAACATTCGACACATCTTCCTTGCATCCACCTCCATCCGGTCAGAATGGTTTCAAATCACACAAAGGCAGCACCACATTGGCAAAGGGTTTGGTGTTGTGCAATCGCGTCACGCGCATCGCCAGCTGTTTCCTTGGGAATGCCATGAGTCTTGCAAAGCTTCTGGCATGATACAAAGATGGAGTAAAACAGTTTGCTAGGGCAGTTGGCTTTCAACTTTTTGAGATGTGACAAGCTTGAAGTAGTTCAATTCTGCGTAGTTCTTCTATGTCTGCAAATAAACATGAACGACATCTAAGCAAGAGGAGCACAGCTCTCTTTTCTACTCTTGCTGTAATTTTCACCCATCACTCATCCATACCAGCCACCTTTTATGAGCTTATGCAGGAAACGACACTCCATAGCCATAACGTACGTAAAGTATCACATTGATTGCACTCTGCCGTTTGTCCATGAAGACCACTGACTTCAGCTCGCTGATGGATGTGCCCTGAAACAGCAGGTCGGTGCAATCCCAAGATCCTGAATGGCTAGTGAGGCTAGTGTTTGTAAATGTGTTTAAATTTCCGCAGGCATCTGAGTGCATTATCGTGAATTGGGGTTCCTTCCAGTGATGGACCTCTGGATTCATGAATCGCCTCATTGAAGATATTGACCACGGAAACTGCGTCCAGCTTTCCACTTTGCAAATCCTTAGGCCGAAATGCCGCCTGGGGAAGTAAAACTCAATGACGCGACAAAGCCTGGTACCCTGCTGAACCACGCTGAACCGCCAAATAGCTTACATATGGATGTTCATCCCAAAATTTCATCAAATGTCCATTCTTGCTAGTTAAATCGATATCGTTTTGCTGCTTCAAAACAGCCTTTGATTGCCAAAAGGCTTTCTTAATCCCATGCCGCACGGTGTGGTTCAAGCCCCCATCGATAGCTTTGGCCGACAGTCCTCGGCTGCAAGGCCAAAGCTCTATAGAGGACTTCAAGGGTCAGCGTGGACCAAACATTCATCTGCATCGCTATTCCCATCTATCTATGTTTCCGTCTATCTTTCTTTCTTTCTGTCTATCTAGCTGTCTATATATCAAAATGATTCAAAACGCATATCATAGGTCCCAAGACACTCATATTCAACCGCAAAAAAATGTTGTTTCTCTTCACTGCTGGCATTCAAAAATAACTTGAGATTGTCGCAGCCGTGGATTCACAAAGCAATCGCATCCCCTAATTGTGCTGTCTGGCTAAGACAAGAAACCAAACTTGCAAAGGACCTCTGCAAACTTCTTGGCTCGCTGCACACCTGTCTGCAGGTGCATCTTCTGTTCCGTTCGGTTCGGTTCTGTTCGGTTCTTGCGCCCGGTGCGCTCGCCTATGCAAGTGCGTCGGCGCATTCGCTCAACATAGCGTGCTTAAAAAATTGGGAGGCGGCTGGGCAACCAACATTGTGAAACCAACGGGTCGGGGCAGCTGCATGTAATCTTCTATGACACAAGCGCCTGCAGTGGACCAATGGAATAAATACATGCCGCACTTGGTCTGAATTGACAATCTTAATTATAGGTATGGTACGGTATGGTAATGTGATATAAAGTTGAAGATCAGATTGTTGGATCTTCTTCATGTCTTCATGTAGTCTGATGCTGCATGCTGACTGCCGAATTCCTTGCAAACAAGGCACGATTCAGCGCCACCAGCACGGGCGTCAACCGCTTCCGATTTTCCAGGATAAAGCGACCCATACTTTCCATGTTGTGAGTGTCACCCACTGGCACCGTAATCATAAAATCGCAAACGTGACCTTGGCTGCTAGATGGTTTACTCACCAAATGGTCACTTTCAGGAGGAAACTAATCATCAACCAACAAAATTGATGAGTGTATGGGGGATAAGGCCCGCTAATGCAATGAAATTGGGGGCACCCTAGTATTCTGATGGGCGTGTCATGGAAAAGCGCCGTCTTGCAAAACATGATGAACAACAAGGAGTCATGTGCAAACAGAAAGGCCATGTTCACCATGCGAGATTGAAACATCAGGAAAAACTGGACACCCTCGTTCTACCACGCAAGCATGAAACCAAAAAAAAAAATATATATATATATAAAATGCCCATGCATTACGCGTACTTCTGTTGGTTTGTCTGATTTAGCCAAAAGCATCGTACCCAGAAACCATCATCTTCCCAATCAAATTGTTTTCGGGCATCTGCTGGGCAAAACCATATCTACTACCCACTTCCCTACTTATCTACCTGTCCATCCGTCCATCTGCACGATTCTGCATGGTGTGCCGCTACATGTTTTTCCCAAAGATGATTCACTGTTTTGACCCCATCCTGACCTCTGCCCTTCCCCTTTTTCCGACCTTCTTGTATGGCTTTGTCCAAGTCATATCTGAAGTCAATGTTCTGAGGCAGGTAAAAGGTGGCGGTGAAGTGGGCTGCCAGCTCGCTTGAGATCCTGTGTTTGATGATTCCAGTGTAACCTGCGCAGGGTATTTTTGAGCAGTGAATGAAATGTCTGTGATCATCGATTGACAACTGGAGGTTTTCATATGTTTGCATTATATAATGTTCATCCATTGGTTTATGATGGTTTGTCACCCTCTTCTATCCTTTTCATCCATCCTTTACTCGTCTCCTGAGAAAAAACTAAGCCATGAATCTGGCGATTCTCACGTTTTGCTGAGGTCCTTGCCGCTAGAGTGCTTCATCTCCAAATGGTGTGCCTAGGTTTTTTTTGGGCGACCGGCTTTCTGCTGTCTCCTCCAAAGGAACAACAACTCAACTCATTGCAGCCGACCCGGCAAAATTAAAATGGTCCACGGAAACAAAAATTTCCACAATCAATGTGCCACTGAGCCCTTCAACTTCCACTTGACCTCTAGGATCAGAAACCATTAGCGCTTAGCGGTAGCATGCTGTAGCTGTAGCTGGTTTAGTTTCCCATGATTCAGCAAATCTTACAAAGACCTGGAAGAGACGGCCGACAGGATTGTACTGACAAAACCTGAAGGTTGAACTCAGCCAAACAAAGCAATCACCAGGCCTCATCAACAATTTTGATGCGAAAGTTGTGTCCACGAAGGTGATGTGCTGATGCATAAACGCAAACCTCGACTCAAAAGTCAGCTGTGCTTGGCCCAGGTGGCCACTTTCTCATCGGCCACTTTCTCACCTTTCTCTCCACTGTTTTGCCAACGAAAAAAGCCATTGCCGCAACACCGCGCTGGCATTTCTGGACAAGAGGCCACCACATTGGCATATGGATCAACTGCCTTAGCGAATCCCCCGGAATTTGTCCCTTACTGGATCTGTTTTAGAAACTGCTAGGTTAGGTTCAGGGGAACTTATGACAAGATCCTGAGCTGAATGACAGATGTCACAGATGTCACAGATGTCACAGATGTCACAGATGTCACATCTACTCTAGCCCCGTGCCACTGCTTCACCAAATGGGGTCCCTGTTTCTATTGAGCTTCCTGCCACCAATGGTGCCCTAAATGGTGCTATGACAAGACTCGGTGAAGCCATCTCCAACGATGCAGCTCTTAATTTGAAATCGCGCCAGTTCCGCCGCGGTCTGCCTGGATCACCGGAGCGGTGACCATATCGTGGCATACCGGATGCGCCCGGGATAAGCGCCGGGGCGGAAGTTTGGAAAAATTGGAAATGGCTATGGGAAATGGCAAACCTATTGGAAATGTTTGTGAAGTTGGGGAAGGAACGAAAAAATGAACGCATATTGAACGCATGAATGAATGAACAAATAAATGAAGGAAGGAATGAAAGAAGTATGATATTCTATCAAATCCTTCTAAATAGATCAAGCCTTGGTCATGACCGATTGTCTCCTCATGTTCCTTCCAGAAAAGCCTTTTGTGACTCCACTGCAGCGCCCTGTCCTTGCGAGGTCTCGCCATGGCACGAAGATTACATGACGGCCATCTGGATTCCTTGCATCATTGGCTCATGTTCAGTTCATGTTCAGTTCATGTTCGGTTCATGTCCGGTTCATGTTCTGAAGCACCCCTCCCTTTCTCTGTATCTAGCAAGTCCATCCAAATCCATGAAAATCTCAAGAGCTGGGCACCATTTGCCATGCTGTCAATGAAAATATCTGATCGCACTGCCGGCTGAGGAGCTTCGCCAGATCTCCTGAGATGCACGGCGGACTCTGGCCACCAGCGGTGAAGAGACGTCAAGAGTCATGTGTAGCTGCGTAGCTTTTGGCTGGGATTGAAACGGCCAGAAGAAGTCATCAAAGTGATGACTAGCATTGTCTTTGATACCCTCCCATAAGCTCCCTATGTCCCCTACATAGATTCCGCTACACAGCGGCTCAAAGCACAAATCCGGCACTCCACTTGCCATAGCTACATTGATATTGTAGACAACTGGGTTGTGCGCGGATGTGGATATGCACCCTACCCCAAACATCCATCAAACATACGCCAAACATCCAGCAAATAGCCATCAAACATCTACCCGTCTCTCAACTTCCCGAGGTTCGATCAATGATCAGCGCGTAGGTGACGGTCTTTCCAGTTCCACAGGCCATCTGAAAGCGCAAACCTTGCCCTTTCGCTGCCTAAACGGTGGAGACAACCGACCATCTGATGATCCCAAAATCCCCCCAAAAAAACTATAGAATTCTGGCGATGTTGGCCATGCCCTAACTCCGCTCTACAATTAACCGCTTATACATACATATGTATATACATATGTATATACATTATATACATATGTATATACATATGTATATACATATATATACACATGTACTATATGACTACATGTGTATATATAGAGAGAGATGTATATAACTGTGTATATATGCAGTTTTTGGTATTTAAATGCATACATATATATGTATGGCAACAGGCACCCCTATGATCTACCATATACTTTCTTCTTACATTGGATCAATAGTTCAAACGTTGATACCGTGTTCAAGCACTCAAGCAATAAAATAAAAGCAATAATTTTTTATATAAAATATATTGAATATATATATATACATATTCGAAATATATTACATACATATATACATTTTGAAATAAACAT